AAAAGTCTCCCTTCATTTCGTACATTTCCAAGGCACTGTTGCCGTTGCATTTTTGCATGACATGGCCAGATCTTCGTTGCGACACATGGTGTCTGCTTCCCGTCTGCCCCCACTACACTGAGCCAGAAAAGTGCGGAGGTAAGTCCAAAAATCCGGAAGGTGTTTGAACAGAGATTTCCTGACTCTTAGAGCTGAGGCAAGAGTATAAAATGTGAGTTTGTCAATGTGAGAATGATATTTTGCAATATCTGAAAAAATGCCTAAAGTGACTGACCCGACAAAGTAGGTGTGTAGAAACAAACATCATGATATTGGTCCATTGGTCCGTTAAGAGACATCATTTTGGCCCGCACGAATTGGTATCAGCAAGCTCCAAGCAGCAGTTCTTCCTCGCCATCTCGCCCAAGCTTTACAGGACTTGCACGGTCCATGGCCCTCAGCTTTAAACTTGCCGGTACGGTACTGGATCCCATCCCAAAAATATCGCTCCTTTGCTCCCAATTGTGTGATTTAACTGGGAGTCCAGAAATGGGAGATCATCTGATTGGGATGGGATCCAGTACCTGGAGCCAATCAATTCAAAACAAAATCAGAGTTTGGCTGCTGTGATCGGAGGGCTCCTGCGTCGTGAGTCACTGTGCTTTAGAAAGACCAGCTGTATCTTCCCCACGAATATAAATCAGGAAATCAATAGATAAATAGCTAAATGAACAATGGATAAATAGATGATTCTGTGTATACAATTATGCCAGCGTCATCTCGATCCAAGGTCCTGCTCTGCAACTCGCCAACGCTCTTGTGGAGCCTTCGCCGTGTTCAATCTGTGGCAACACAATGTAGTACATTAATAGCACAAAAACATGATATAGTAATGTACATTAATTGTGTTACCATGGAGTGGTCATAATCATGTTTAATTTTCCAATGATATTGTAATTCTCCGTTGAAATATGTGTTCCATTCGTGGTCATAATCTGGTAATACAGTCATAGCAGAGTCAATATTAATGTTACCACTTTTCTGTTGTCAGATTGAATCTTACTCTCCGGTAGCAGGGTACATGGAGAATCTTAGAAATCTTCTATGAATGGATGGAAATGGTTTATACTACACGGGCAACCAAGAGAGGCCGCGTCCTCTTTTCGGGGTACCCAAATGACCTGACCCGTCTCCGTCGCAGACCTGGTCATTCCTTTCAGCCAGCGGTCGTAGTCTGAAGCCTTTTGCTTCATGTACTTCAGCACCTGAAACCCAAAAATCTGCAGAATCAGAATCAGTTGGTCGCAGTGCTGATAATATCTGTTGGTTGGTTTTTCTGGTTGAGTCCCCCGAAAGTCGGGAGCTTATCAACCTCCAAGGTTGGAAACTCACATTGTCACTGTGACACCTTTGCCACGTTGTGATATATATATATATGTAATATATATATACTATTATATATATATTATAGATATCATATCACTATATATCCAAGATTCAAGATTTGAAGTCTTTTGAGGGGAGAAATGAGCAGCCCAGTTGTGTTTGTTTATCATCCTACGTTAGACAATGATGTCGATGCCATGGAGCCGAAAGACAAAAAACATGTTGAAATAATCATCAAAACCACCTTCCACAAGGTCGTGCCCCAGTTCGTTAGCTAAGTTGGTTGATAACTCCAATTTCACTAAGGTTTGTTTTCTAGATATATCTTTTTTCTCAATGGAGGTTTTCTCAACTTTTTTTTCACCATCATTCACATTTTTCTGCAGGAGGCACCACCCAATGGAGAGTTTCCAGTCACCTGCGGGTGCGGAAGGACTAAGAACTTCTTCTCTCCCATGGCTTTCACCACTTCCTGGCGGACCCGGTCGACCGTGTTCACAAAAACCCAAAAATGCAAAAAGGGGGGTTACCCACAACCATAACCCCCCCACCACATCCACTGGTACATATATGAAAACATACACTCTCATGTGTATATATATGTGTGTGTGTGTATGTGTGTGTGTGTGTCTGTATGTATGTATGGATGGATGGATGCATGCATGCATGCATGCATGGATGCATGTATGTATACAGATACAGATACAGATACAGATACAGTAATGATATATAGATATCTATAATATATATATATATATGCCATGATATCCATTCCATGATTTGCTCCCAGACCTCAGCCACCTGTTGAGGCTTCAAGACTCCATCTCCACCTGCGGCCGAAAAGCCCTTGGGGTTTTATTACCAAAATGGTCTAATGATGTCTAATGACTTATAGGCTAGGATTACTCTCCAGTAAATTAACATAGACCCTGGCAGATGGGGGCTGAAAGACTAGTTTCCAATAGAAATTGATTGTTTTCAGGGTCAACAAGTTAATTTACCAGAGGGTAAGGTTTCAGATTACTAGGATGATGGATTGTTAAGAAAAATTGGGGATCTCCAAAAATCATACTGTGGATGGTTGCGAAATCCTGCACCAGGCAGGGTAACTATTGCTAATTATTGGTACCCTTTGGTTATGACTAACATAGCCATGGAAAATCCCTTATAAATGGAGGTTTCTAGCTGGGAAAATCATCTATTTCTATGGGCCATCTATACCATGGCTATGTTGAATAACCAGAGTGTAAGTATGAAACACTGTAAATAATGGGACCATCATGGGACCAACCATCTACCAACTGATGCAGGATTTCGCTGGCCCATCCACAGTTAGGTTTTACTACCAACTGATGGTCTAATGATGTCTAATGACTACTAATGACTAGGATGATTTGGGGTTATTTCCATTTTCGGAAACCTCCATATGTCATATCAAAGTATCGTATGGATTCAGTATAGATTTTGGTTATTGCATCTGGTATATTGATACTATCATGGAATATTACATTGTTTCGACATATCATATTGTCTATATGGACAGATCATATTGTCTATTGTATACATTATATTTGTTTATTACCATGAACTGTGTCTAGAAACAGAATCGCTTCAACTGTACAGAATTTCTGGTGGTGGTTGGAAGAGGTTCATCTCTATAGAAATCAAGGCGATCTGGACTTATTATATAATATCCAATGATCCCCTTTCTATGTCCCATTTAGAGCTTTATTCTCTTGACAAACCTTGCGTCCCCTGATGCACCAGCAACAGTATCCACCGCCATCCTGCCTGCGCCAGCATTTCCAACCCAGACCATGCCAGTTTCCACTACCTGAGTCATGTTTGTCTCACCAGTCTAAAGTTTCTGGTGGAATCGTCCACAACCATCTATTCCAGTGATGTGTGAAAAATCCCAAGATGTTGGCAGTCACCTCAAAATAGCCATTCAATATCATGAAATAGTAGTAGTGAAAACACAGATAAACCGTGAGATTTGGGGATCCCGAATTTTGAGACATCCCATTTGTGAATCACATATATATATATATCACAACATTCCCATGTTTTCTTGATGGTTGAAATCCCCTCCAAAAATCATGGTTCAATTAGTTCAATTCCCAGCCACAGCCCACAGAATGAACAGTGTAAAACCGTGTTGGAACGGAGATCGCACCTGTGGACAAAGGCAGGCGACATGGATGCCAAACTCCCGGTAGGTGATCTGGTACCTCCGGAGGTGCAAAATGACTACCATGAAGCAGGCTACCCCATCAAGCAGACCAATGTATATGTTCTATGTATACATATACATATACATATACATATGCATATACATATACATATACATGTATATATATATATATGATATTCACCTAAATCCATATAAAGCTATATCACATACACGAAATGAAACCATGGAAGTTCTGTCGTTCCTAGGTCCTGAGCCAGGGTCACCATTCAGCAATGGAAACTGCTGCGTGCTTCGATACGCTGTAGGGAAGGCCTCCCACCTAACGCTGAAACGTCCCTTTTTGCCCCGGGGGGAGGAGATCAAAGACGAAAGTTGGGCGTTGAGCAAAAAAACGGGATTTCACCGTGTATACTGTATATGTATGTGTATATATATATATATACATATATATATATATGTATATGTACATACATACATGCATATGGTATGGTTCAGAATGAAAGACTTTGACACAATCTTCGGCCATTTGTTGGTGCATCCCACCATCACAAGGTTGATTCAAAGTCATCCATAATCCATAGTGAGTGATGTTTGTGCCCTGGCACCTGAGTGAGTAAGCCAGCCGCTGAAGCGGTGATGATGAAGTGCTTATCGCCTGACAGAAGCGATCCGGCTACTCCGAATTTTCTGCGATGTCATCTGATACTTAAATGGTGCGATCCCCCAACCAAACAGCCGTTTGGGGTTGATTATATAATCCGGGGTCTTAAAGTCTTACATCTCTTTTTATTTGAGAGTTGTGGCAATGCGCGTCCATCTTTTATTTCACAGGTTTGAGATTGTTTAGAGACATGAAAGTTGAAAGTTGTCAAAGAAACCGTCATGCACTGAAGAGAATAGTTAGGATGTTAGAATCATAGGTATATCACTACAAGAATGGAGATGACCCGTGATGACATCGTTTTGGTATGTGTTCGTAAGTGATTTGGGAATTTCAGCTACCGCAGATTCAAACATGCCCTCTGTCGTAGCGTCGTACCTGGTCGTTGCTGCCAAAGGGGAAACAAATGCCGAGCAACGTAAACGTGCTGCATCACCTCAGATCTGCGGTGCCCAGGACACGGGGGGAATCTGCTGCCCATGTAAGTGGGATGGTGGATGTATCTATGGTGGATGACCAATAAGTACTATGGGATACATCAACACAATAATTATTGGTGAATGTATATTGGTCATCCACCATATAGTTGGGTTGGTGTATGTATCTTATTATTGATTGGGATAATAAGTACTATGGTGGATACATTTCCATAGTTGGGTTGGTGTACAAACCAAGTTATGCGGATCAAGTTTTTCAAGAACAGGACCGTAAACAGATTGGCCATGTTTCTGGTAAACTATGGCCATTTAACGAAACACAAAATTTTGACCAATCAAACCTGCGCGCCAAAAAAGTGCATGGTCGATCAAGCCAGTTTAAGAAAAAATGAAAAGCGTCGGTGTATTCATGGAGGCTCAACTTTTTGAGTCGTACCTTGAATAGCCTTCCAAGGGCAAAGCTGCATGTAGTCGTTTCATGTCGTTTCCTGGAAATAAGTCGATCCCAGAAGGAAGGAGAGCTGCATTTTCCAGATCTTCCGCATCTACTATTTCAAAACCAGAACAGGCCTAGTTTCAACCCATCAAAAAACGTTGAAATGCACCGCTTCCACCAAAAAAACACAATGTCCAAGAAACAAAACTGAATATATATATATATACATAATTATATATATATAATATTATATATATATATATATTTATAGAAGAAAACCCTGGAAGACCATATGTTTTTCCCACCACCAGCATTTCGTTCTGAGTTCCCGGACGTTCACTTTCCAGATCCTGTCCCACTCATCGTTGGGCACCTCGTAGCCGCCGTTGGACGGCACGCCGGCGTTGGCGGCAAAGACTTCCACGGGTCCAAGGGTCTCCGCAACGCGGCAACGCGAAAAAACGCGGCGCCCGGTGACCCAAAAAAAAATGGCCCAGTCGAAATAGTGGATTTAGCCATGAAAAATGGTGATGTTCCATAGTTTTTTGCATTACCAGAGGGTATGGATGCTGATGGTAGACATATCAGTTGATGGGGTGAAGATAACGAACATAACTGGCGGTACACCACCTTGCAGCACCCATGGATATGTGTAGAATTGTGTGGAGATATTTTTGCAACCATGTGAGATGGGGGATATTTCATGGGGATCTGAGGTTTGTTCAATGTAATCAATTACATTTGATAGTTGAATAACAAAGTTGATGCTGATGCAATATGGTTTTGTATTGGAAACTGATGGAAAATAATGATATAGCCAGCAAGGATGAGGATGTAATTGGATATTGACCAACTATAATCTGATACATGGGGTATAGCCGGTATACTTGCAATTTTAATAGGCAAAATGATAATCAACCATCAAGCTTTGGCGGTGCCCTACTTTCAGAAAAAAAACACTTGGCGATTAGAAAGTAACTTATAAACCATTGATCTAACTGGGGGTCCTCCATTTCCAAAGGTGTGGGTGGACATCTGTTTATTGCTGACTTACCTATCATGTGGTTGGGAAACTCTGATTGTAGTTCCTTGGCTCCCCATGGGAATATGGATACAATAGCTCCTCACCGCTACCACCGGATAGATTTTCTTGGGGGGAAGCATTCCAAGTAAATTGGACAAACCCAAAACTGCCCAAAAAAAAATGGGGTTACATCGGTTACATCTCAAGAGAAGCAAGAGTTGATGGTCATGGTTCATGTGTAACTCCAAAGGCAGGGGGATCCCCTAGAATCCAAGGGGTTCAGAACCCGAAATGTCATGTCAATCTGCTGACTGTTGACTAGGGGTTTGCATAATGGAGGATGGTAATCCTTAATATACAGTAGTTGGATTGTATAATTGTATAAACCCTGAAAAAAAAACATCAACTGGAGTCTTGAACACTCAGTTTGCTATTACTCTGAAGAGACCAGCTTGAACAGAGGAAGTTGATTTTAGCAAAAAACGAAAAACAATTCACAAAAAAAAAAAAACAACAAATCCACAGGACCCACAGGAAAGAATCAGCAGACAAACAAAAGAAACATAAAAACAACAACTGGGTTGTTCCCAGATTTTGTTCTTTTTGGTGTGTTTGTGTTTTCTTGGTTCTTCTTGTTTTTGGTTTTCTGGTTTGTTTTTTTCTGTTTGCCCTGTCTTTGTTTTTCGCTTCAATTTATGTAGAAAAGCCTACATTCGCTGTGTTGAACTAAATGGAGCTATGGGAAAATCAACGAACTCCTGGGAGATGTTCCAGCCGCGCCTCTGCCACCGCAATGAGCCGCCGAACATCCATCTCCTCTGGGCCATGGTCCAATGGTGCCGAGAAGCCGAGAACATGTTGGTGCGGCATTCCAGCGGAACATCTTGGTCGTAACTAGTTGTTTTACGCAAGAATGATGGTGTTTTACGCAAGAAAAAAAGGGAGCTTGGGAAAATTCATCGATCAAACCACAAACCAATGACATGTCGAATGATGCAAAGATGAACATCCAGCTACACACCTGCTATTGTGGTGATAAAAAACGCAGGCTAGCAAGGTGAACTGACTCATACTCAGGACTAGAACACAGCACATCTGGCCAAAAATATGACTTTCTGCACAGGACCGTGAACATTTGATTGCCTTGATCCTCTTCATACATTTAGCACAACAGCTAGTTTCTATTGATTCAAGGGGAACATCAGGGGGAATGGGATCAAATCAGCTGAAACTTACATCATTCTCCAGATGGAAATACATTTTGAGCATTCATGAGTCAGAAAACATCCCTATATGGACAATTTACCAGCTCCTACCCTTTGTTGCTAAAAAAACACCATTATTTCATGGTCAATGTCCCATTTTTCATCCTGGTTTGGGATATCGGATGATATCGGACATCGGGTCAGACATCCTGGTATGTGTTTTATTTTGCCTATATATACACCATGATTTCAAGGCCATTTATGCAGCAAATCAGGGGAACCAATCGGCATCATCTTCCCAAATCCAATGGTTTCAACTGTCATTTTCCCCATCCGCATCCAGCCATCCAGCGTCCTGCATCACATTGCAGCGCACAGCCACACCATTGATCTCTTGCGCGACCTTTGCCGCCGCTTCCTGTGGGACGCTTCCTTGGGAGAAAAACTTACAAAATCGCAAGAAAAACAAACAGAGCTTAAGAAATCTATCTGAAATGGCGGATATTCCAGTGCCATGTTTGATCACCAAATGGTAAAACAACAAGAAATGGTATATTCAAAAAACAAAATGTGTTTTGTTTTCGCCAGGAGTTGAAAGCAGCAAAAAATAGAGCTTGCCCAACAAAGAGGAGGGTATCTTTTGGCAACCAAAACAGGACTTAAACCGACAGGGATGCATTGTATGAGAAGAAGCAATGTAACCAAGAATGATATGAACATGTCACAACAATAGCAAGATCATCAAAAACAAAGCACAGAGTGTCTGGCCAAAACATGACACAGGGATGGTTCAAACTTCAGGTCAGCAAACCCAACTGGTCGTCGTTTGGGTAATGACAACCCTGGATCAATGCTGTAACTCTCTGGGCTGAACCAGGAATTTAGTGCCCATTCAGCCATCATTTTTTGGGTGTCTTTTATGTGACCCTAAACAATGTTGAATCGACCTTAGTTCAGCCATTGAATCATTGGTATCACCATCTATTTTAACATCTATCCATCTATAATAATCATATACATCCTATCCATCATTTTGTTGGTGTAATGTCTTGGACCATGTCGAAAATCGGAAAAAAAAAAACAGGTCAAGCGCCACGGAAAAAAGAACCAGATCCCATTGGCGTCGTCCATTGGCTTTGTCCAGTGATATATACATTATATGATAGGCTACATATGATATACATACTTCATATATATGTATATATGTATATGTATAACATATATATGTATGTATAACATATATATGTATGTATAATATATATATGGATATTTATATGGCTATTTACATAATATATCTATTATATATATAACATATATGGATATTTACATCATATACGTATCTATACATACCATGTATGTATGCACACACATACATACATAAAATGTATATAAGTGTATATATATACATATAATAATTACACATGTCCATATACACTCGAGCAATCAAACATGGCTATGGAAACTCCCCTATCAATGGAGGTTTATGGCTGGGAAGATCATCGAACTAAGTGGGGGTTGTTCAGTTGCCACGCTTGATTGCTGGACAGTCTGTTGATGTATCTCTGCATAAACATCTCCGAATATCTTTGGTCTTTGGATTTCTTTTAAAAGATTCCACAATTTGTGCCCCAAAGATATGGTCTGTGGATTTCTTTTACCCTCTGGTAAATTAACATAACTATGGAAATTCACAATTTTTAATGGGAAAATCCACTATAAATGGCAATTTTCAATAGCTATGTTAGTTTACCAGAGGGTAAAATGTTTACCTCCGCAAAGACCACAAGGTGGTGGTCTAATGATGGCCTCGTTGAGATCCGCCACCACCACCTTGGCACCCAGCGCAGCGAAGTGCTGACATAAGCCCGCTCCTGGCGATTCGTACGGAGAGTTCACGGAAAGCCTGGGGTCATGGGTGTCACCAAAGATGAAGAGCTACCTTCCAGAAATTGGGACAGTATCAAGAATGGTGGTATTTAAGTTGAGTAACGTGGTAAAATCATATGAAATAAGCCACTTAGATTGATAGAGTCTCATCAGATTCATGGGTTACATCAAGTTACATCCAAGTTTACGTGGTTTCTTCAATGTTCTTCGGAAAAAATGACCCCTTCCATCAGACTTGGTGTGCTGTGACCTGAAAGTGCCATGGAGATGATTCAAAAAATGCTATGCCGCTGCTATGCCTTTTGAATAGAAAACTCTCAAGAATTGCTCTATCTTTGCAACCCAAACGTCCCCTTTTTTCGTTTGAAAGCTTAGGAAAAATTCGACCATTTTCATGGAATCAAACCCCCATTTCCCGACACGATTATCATTAAAATCAGATTGATGGCGCCATCCCATTTTCATCACAACCAAGATATCCCTTGTTACATGATCATTTTCCCACAAATGTTATAGTGTAAAAAAGATGTAATTGAGGTAATTGAATGTAAAAAAGATGTAATTTCCCAAAGATGTCCTCCAAAATTTTCCCATTTTGTTGCTGGTAAACCATCCCATTTTTTTGCAGTTCGACCAGAGCTTTTCGTAACCGCGCCGGAAGCGGCACTGGAAGATCGGTCCTATGCCACTGGCGCCTCTGATGGCTATGTGAGCGATTTGAACGGGGAATGTATGATATGTCCACTGAGATGTCTATACCTACAAATATTGTATATTACATCATATCATATAAGAAATATCATATATATCATATATCATATATCATATATCATATTTTTAATGATCTGATGTAATCTTAACCTTAATCTAAACTAATCTAATTTAATCTCATCGGTCTATCTATCAGATCTGTATCTATATCTATCATCCATACTTGTAGATTGTATCTAACCGGTAACTGTATTAATTGGTTTGGCAAATCGGAGACCCAAGTTTTATCTTCGAAATTCAGCCCTGGTCATCAAGCTACACAGCAACGAGGTTGACTCCCCATTCAATTGGCTATTTTCAATGAACATGAAACCAATACTGTTCATGTCAGTTTCGTTCAGCATCATTTTGGGATGGTCATTCAGTGTTTCAAGACATGAAACTTTGCCAAAAGCCACAGTGTTTCTGCCAATTCGACCCTGTGGCTCCATTCCCATAGAAAATCTGACCCCGCACCTCCAGTAACCACGCAAACCTTGCCAGCCACTGGGTTTGTGCCCGCCATCGCCGAGCTTTTCGAAAAAAGATGTTCACCAACCGCGCGAATCACGCTTGGCATTTTCTAGATCAATGATCAATGCCATGCAATTTGAGGCTTTTTTGATGTTTGGGATGTGTCAAAAACATTCAAAAGCCCTGATAAAAATCATGGGATATTCATCCCTCCATGGTCTGTCATTGGTAACTTGATCCATCCAAAAACTTTGAGCCAGGCTCCAAGATTCGAAGACTTCAGCTGTTGATTTGAGACTCTTCCAGGACTGTAATGGAGCCAACAGCTGTCACATCGCAGGCTCTCTGATCTGCTTGTCCACGCAAATTCATATGTGGCACTCTACCCTTGAGAACTTACGGACATTTATAGATCTCACCTAAGTTCACAGATGTTTCAGAATGTTTCATCATTTCACTTTCTGGTGCTAAACATAGGGAATGAGGGAATGATTAATAATAAGTATGTTCACACTCATCCCATTCCCCCGTTCCCCCGTTCCCTAGCACAAGTAACATCATCCATGCCTTACCCTCCGGTGAAGTGACGATTTTCCCAGAAACCTCTATGAAAAAACATGGCGAATTCGGGGGATTTTCCACGGTTTATGACATCGTTTAACAAACACACCCCCTTTTTTGCAGCGCTGACATTGAGAAACATCTAGCGCTGACTCTCCTCGGGGATGACCTCAGGCACTCCTGACCTGAACGGTGTTCGACCGGTGCTGGAGGGTCCCATCAAAATCATGGATCCGAAACGACTTTGATGGGGACTTTTTAAGGGATTTTTTAATGGGCTTAAAATGGGATAACCCATTTTAGAAAACGGAAACCTCCATTTGCCCATCACTGACTCTATGGACTCTATGGTAGATATATCTATATATATACATGTATATGCTATAAACGGGGTGAAGATAAACCAACATTCACACCACTGGGGCACCACCTTCTACCAGTGCCCACAGAACGGAAATTGGAAACGCCTTGCGGTAGATAGACCTCTCGAACTAGTTTATGGGGGAAGAATGATGGATATATACTGGGGATATAATGGGAATATCATGGAACATATAACTATTGACCATCAATCAACCACCACAAATAGTAACCTCCGGTGTCATCAAACACGGCTGGGAAATCCCCAAACTAGCCATTGAAGGCAACTATGTTTCTTGGAAAATCACAAAAAACTATTGCTTTTTGGGGGGTTCCAGCCATGTTCCAGCCATGTTTGATGACACCAGAGGGTAATAATCTTAACCATATAATACCATAAAATACCACATATTCTTAGGGGGATCAGCGACCTTGGGGTGCCATGGTCTCTCGTTTGGGATGAATGAGGCTGTTTATCATCCATCCCCATAGGGGGCACTTTGCCCATGGCACAACCCATGGCGCATAATATGGATGTATGCTACTGTCATGAACCAGTGGACATTGATTCATCAAAATGCCAGTTGTGTTAATCATAATTGGTGGGCTTAATCATAATTTCGTTGAATCATGGATGCTGTTCATTAAAAACATGAGATTGTTGATCGTGGGTATTTACAGAGAAAAGAAAACGTAACAATGTCGATCATGGCGACACCTTGCTTCTCACAGTTTCCCAGTTACGGACCGTATTGCGGAGGTGTCCGTGTTTTGTCATGGAGGTACCCCCAAAAGCATCATCCAGTCGTCATGAGACCATGATGACTGGCATTGAAACCTATGATGACGACTAGGGATCTCCCAGGAAACCTCCAGTTCTTCCCATCACTTCTGGCGTACCACCCATTTTTCCCTAAGATTTTGCACCTTCTCTGCCGTGCAGCTGCGAGGACCTCCCAAAATAGAGTCAGACATCTAATCTATTGGATCTAATTTGGGCTAGTTCCTAATTTCCATTTAAAAGAAAACGTCATTGTTCTGAGTCCATTCAAAAAAATCCGGAAACCAATGGTGGTTTGGGATCAAGCGTCCCGCTTTGGCAGGTGTTTTTTTCTTTTTCTTGCACATGATGACTCGCTCAAATGACCACGTGTGATCTCTTGGATGAAAAACAGCACCAGGTTTGGTACGGTAAACGCCCCACTTGTTTTTGTCTGAACATTTAGTGGAAAAAAAAAACCTCCAGAATATCCAGTGTCTAAAAAGAAAGCATCCAGATCCCATAGTGTATTTTGTGTTCCAGTTTCATCCATGTTTCCTATTTAAATGGCAATCCTTTGGAGACACGTAAACGATGACCCCACCTGTTCGAGCACGGCTTGGTTGGCCGGCAAGGGCATCAAGGTGGCAAGCTCCTTTCGAAAGATCTCAAAAAGATCGGAAGTCATGGCGGTGTCCATAAATGGGGATACCCAAAATGGATCAAAATGGATGGGTTTTTTTCGGGAAAATCCATTTATGATGGGCATCCCAGATTCATTCCCATACAAATCGTGAGAAAATCCATTTATATGGAGGTTTCCTGAAATGGGGCCTCCAAATCATCCATTTCTTCATGGGAATGTCCATGAAATAAACCATCCAGCTATTGGGGAGACCCCATTATGGAAATCCCCAAAAAACATGGGGAAGCAAATCACGTGAATTCATGGTGATGATTTTTTGATGCTGGGGATCAATGGGGATTAATACTCATTTTAACATTCTAAGGTCACCCGCAAAAACCAAAAATTGCGCCAACAATTTAGTGTGGGTGTTACCAGCTTAAAAGAAAGGGAGATATACCCCACCAAAAGTCAGGGCCCGGAAAAATATTTCGCATGGTACTCTTCGGGTTCCGTGTTGATTCTCAAATAAACTCTAATTGCGTGACCATTCTGCATTTTTTTCAGGAAGCAGGCGCATGTTTTTGTATCGGGTTTTGAGACTTCCCTGTTTGAGTGGTGTAAATCACCCGATTTCACTGGCAATAGGAAATTGAGATGAAAGTTTGGTGCGGCTTCCAGTGGCTGTTGGGGATACCACCTGGACTTATTTGTTTACCAAAAAAAACTGGTTCGTGTTGCTAAAAACCCGCATCTGGGTTTGAGATCTTGAGATCGGAGTCACTCACCATCTGCATCATCGCATCAAACCCCAGGCCCTTTCACGGCGTCACCACCCATTCGTCCCATTCGTCCCATTCGTTCTGCGGCTGGGCATCACACGTTGACTAAATCATCTCTAGCAATGGGCTTCTGAGAAGTTTCTCTCAAGAAGACCTGCGCCAGAAAACTTCAACTCAGATCCCGGTCCACGTGGCACACATGGTCGGGCAAAATTGCTACCTGATTTTTTTTATCCCCCCCTGTTCGGAATAGGTATATAAATTGACCCTTAACCAGAAAATTCTAGGGGTACCCTATTTTCAGACCACATCTGTTTGACCAAAAATGACCAAAATCTCTGGATCCATCGCTCGAAAAGTGAAGCAGTTAAGTTAGTCACTTAGGGCTGCTCAATCCTTCATTCCTCAATGACAGTGGCAGCTGGTCTGTTCTTCACTCTTCGTTTTTTCCCTTCCAAATGCTCCATTTTTGGGTGTCCAAATCCTTTCCGTTTAGCAACACATCATCCCATCTGCAGGAAACAATTCCCCCAACACAGGATTTGATCGAACATCTCGAAATCGCCCCCTGCCCTTTTTGGCCCTTTTTGGCCCAAAGTCATGGCGATTCCTCTGCCTCCTTGGTCATGCTAAGATCCCAATGCTCTAAGAAGTCGGTGACCTCAGAAATCGGCGAGAAATCCTCAGGGCATTTCCACCGAGTCTTGGCTGTTTCAGTGGAACCCAGATCCATGGGGTGAAACCAAACATGGATTTCGCCCCAGAAATCACCCGCCTTTGCTGGTAAATCCCTGTTTTTGTTAGCCCACTACCAACCAAGACTTCAAGTTGGGATTCTATTCTTGCCGGTTCCAAGAAAAACATGGCCGGACCATACCGTATCACCATTGGTTGATTGGCAAAACTTCCCATTTTCCGTGGTCAAATCACCATGTTCCCACCATCGCATGTGACTGGATGTGTCATCTGGGTGCCCTGCAAGGGACACCATGGGCACTGGAACCTGCCAGAATCCCTCCAGTCTTTCAGTTGGTTGATATCATCAACAAAGAAAGAATCATCGCTCATATCATGAAACACCTGCAAAAAAAATGTACATTTGTATATATATATGCATGTATATACTCATTGATATACACACATACATGTATATATATACATATATACATATATGATCATATATGTACAAGGTGGTGCCCTGTCCTTAGCTAAGTTGGCGGTTTTTTTTTTCGAGGCCTCCACCGCGTCCTCTTGTGGGGCCGTCTCACTGGAGTCCTCACCGAGCTCCGGGTGCCCTAACGGTGTTTTTTATATATGTTATATAGAATATATGTTGTTTATCTATGTGTGATAGACATTGTAGAAACATATAATGTGTTTATCTAATAACACAATGTTATTTATGTTGTTTTATATACATATATTATAGTGTTATAGACATGATTCTCATTCTTATTACTACTATTGTCAGTATTCGCATTTTCATTGTTGTTTATCTTGATTATTATTATTATCTGTATTATTGTCAGCTGTATTATTGTCATTATGGTTGTAATTATTATCCTTACTGTCATTAGTAACTTAATTCCCATTAATAGTTACCTGTTATCATTAAGTATTCTTCCTTTTTTAGATACATATATATACCCCATGTGCAATCTGTTTGAGGTCCATCCAGGTGGTAAATCATCTCGACAAAGGGACATGAAAACCAGGCGACCGCTGCAAGATAGATGCATAGATCTATGGATGCATATACATAGACATAGACATGGACATATACATAGACATATACATAGACATATACATGGACATAGACATAGACATAGACATATACATGGACATAGACATAGGCATATACATGGACATAGACATAGGCATATACACGGACATAGACATATACACGGACATAGACAGAGACATATACATGGATATAGACATAGACATATACATGGACATAGACATAGGCATATACATGGACATAGA